CCTCATGGTGTCTCACTAATTAAAAAAAAAACAAAACAATTTCCTTCCTCCCCACCCCAATCCCGACCCCACAGGATACTGGACTATTATGAAGGTGAGTTTGTGGGGCCGGGATGATGTCAAAGCATGACATCTCTGACAGAGATGATATCAGAGATCAGGGCAGAAACTGGGGACTCGAGTTGATTCAAGTCGTGGCTCCAACATGGGAGCTCGTGGTGCCCGAGAGACTATTCTTAGCTTCCCTGTAGCTATTTGGTGGAGCAACGGCCTGGGAGGCAAGCAGGTCCTACCCATCTGTAATGTTAGTGTCAGGGACTAGAGCAACAGTACGGTGGGCAGAGCGTTTGCCTTTTATGTGGCCGACCCGGGTTAGATTCCCAGCACCCCATAGGGTCCCCCAGGCACCATCAGGAGTAATTCCTGAGTGCAGAGCCAGGAATAACCCCTGCGACTCAAAAGGGGGAAAAAAGTGTTAGTGTCAGATGGAATTGTGTTCTTTTGGGGCCACACCCGGTGATGCTCAAACTGACCCCTGGCTTTATGCTCAGGCATCACTGAACCCCTGGAAGGGGCAGGGGGACCATTTATGCATCTGGGAATTGAACTCAGGTCAGCAAAGTCAGGACAGCACCAAATCCCATCTGTGATATTTTGCCTGGTCCTTGAAAAAAGAATAATATATTCAGGGGTCAGAGCGATAGGACAACAGGTAGAGTATTTGCCTTGCATACAGTTGACCAGGTTCAATCCCTAGCATCCCATATGGTCCACTGAGGACCACCAGGAGTAATTCCTGAGTGCAGAGGTAGGAGAAACCCCTGGGCATTACCAGGTTCCCCCCCCACACACAAACCCCTCAAAAAATAAAGGATAATATAACCAATGTTCTTCTTTTCTAAGAAAAAAATTGGTTCCTTTAATCAAGTGTGACCTTTCTACAACGCTAATAATTGTTTTATGAAAAGGAAGATATTTTTATTTATCCCCTTCAGTCTTAAAGTTGTTTTAAAAGTGGAAAATCTTTGCTCATGGTCTTAATTTTATTGTTGTTGTTTTTATCTGTTCTGGAAATCTACAAGTCTAGAAACTACCACATCATCATTTCTCATTTTCTGGCTGCTGTAGAGAAAACTCGAAGTAGGAGCGTGAGGGATTCAAGGCGCACCCCAGTTTTATCAGGACTGATGCGTGTTACACGCAGGACATGCGTCCATCTGTCACTTTTCTGAAAATTGCCCTGGATTGTCCTTAAATGGGTTTTATTCCATACTGGCATCTCCAAAGAAAATGGAATCAACAGTGGGAGAGTGCTTGCCTTGCATGTGACTGACCTGAGTTCGGTCCCCAGCATCCCATATGGTCTCCTGAGCACTGCCAGGAGTGAGTCCTGAGTGCACAGTCAAGAGGAACCCCCGAACATCATCAGGTGTGGTGCAAAAACAAACAAACAAAAATCCTGGCTAAGAAAGATAGGAGAGAGGGTAAGGTGCTTGACTTCCATGTGGTCAACCCAACTCTGATCCTTGGAATAGTATGTAAAATATAAAGAAAAATGTCTTTTTAAAAAGTCATCCCTAATCATTAATGTTCTGCCTTTTGTTTGATGACTGGGAGTGTATCCCCAGCACTCCAACGGGTCACTCTTGAGCAAGATATTCTGGAATAGCCCCAGACACTTGGGTGTGGTCCCAAATACCTCTCCCCGAAACAAAAGAACGACATAGATTCTATCCAGGACTTTTGAAAGATGATCTGAACTCTAGTCCATTCTTCCAAGCAGCCTGAAATCATTGGCATTCTGACACGCTTCCTCCGCCCACCACTATTTTCTATGCCTCCGTACCAGATCATTAAGCTGCACCCGAGCTTTCTCTCTCCACAAAACACAACTGGCTGTGGATAAGTTACTGGAGGCTGATATTGTTTCAGGCCAGTAATTACAGCGTCCATTGCCTCTCCCATTCCCTGTGAAACTGTTCGCACGGTCTCCACTTCACGATGAACATGTTGCGGACAACAGGTTTTATCTTCCTTCTAGTACCCTGAGTGCTCCGCTTGCAGTAGGCACTCAAATTCGATCAGGAAAATGTGATCACTTTCTCCGTATAAGGAGCACTTTAATAAGCCCCCAAATATAGAAACGTCATCGGGGTCTCCTTGGTTTTACGAATGACAGTCAGGAACTAGGGGCCTGGAATTGCATGGGAACGAGGAAGCAGCCCTTGGAAACCCTTTAGTCCCGAGGCTCTGGTTCCATTTGATTTCTGAAGGGCAAGGGAAGAAAGTGACACAGAATGAAAGCAAAGGACAAAGTGGAGAATCCCCAAGTGAGGAGAGAGACAAGTTCTGGAAAACTCCACAGTAGGTTGGCTTCCCCCCCACCCCTCCGCTCCGCCCCTACCTCATTCCAGGTGACAGCCTGTGAAGCAGGGAAAGAGTGGTCGGCCCTCACAGTGCAGCTTCCACCTCACCCTGAGGAGACAAGACACTGGTTCTGGCTTCATCACTCCCTGGGTCCCCTTTGTGGCTCTCTGCTCTGGCCTCCTGTGGCCCTTCCCATGCTCCCTTTCAACTGCCCTCATCTGTGGCCTTTGCTCTTGCCCCATTCGGCTGCTTCCACATTTGCAAACAGTTTTCTCCCATGACAGGAATGGGCCAAGAGTTGCTCAATAAAAATGTTGCCCCCCCCCCCCCCGGCCCTACAGACATTGGGGTTTTTGGGTTCAATCTGGCTGGCTCTGCACTTAGGAATTACTCCTGCTGGGCTCAGGGGACCATAAAGAATGCCAGGAAGGGGGAGGGGCAGAAGATCAGAACCCTAGTCAGCTGCATGCCAAGCAAGCTCCTGACCCACTGTGGCTCCTCCTCCTCCCGGCCTTCTGTATCTTTTTGAGGAACTCTGCACCCTTTCCCATCCCCGGCAGCTGTGCACAGGGGCCGTGTCTCCAGACCTGCTTGGACTCCTGTGGCTCCAGCTGACCCTCTGTCCCCAGGCCCACCACCGACCAGTGGGAAACACTACACCACTAGGCCACCGTGATGGTGATGGGTGTGTCTGTACTGAGCATGTACAGAAATTTTCTTTTCTTCCCCTGCGACATCTGGATATGCTCAGAAGTTACTCAAAGATGCGGGGTGCTGAGGATCAAACCTGGTTGGGTGCTGCAAGGCAACACCGACCCGCTATGCTACAGCTCTGGCCAAACTTTGTATGCCTTGGGCCGTGTTTTTACTTTCCTGATGGCACCGCAGGAACTGACAACGTTTTGAGGATGACCACCTGAACTAGCCTGGTTTTGGTCTCTGTGCCACTGTCCTCAGCAACTGCGAAACTGACTCTGTTCTTTACGAACTTTCAAAGCTGAATTTATCGTGGATCTGGGCCACAGTCAGTGGAGTTCTGGGCTTACTCCTGGCTCTGAGTTTAGGGATCACTCTTGGCAGGGCGCGAGGCATCATATGTTGTGTTGGGGATTGAACCCGGGTCAGTTGGACACAAGGCAAGTGCAAGCAGCGTTACTACTCATTATACTGTTGCTGCAGTTCTGTCACCTCAGTTTTTTCATGCCACTTCACACTCTGAGCTCACTCGTGCATGTGTCTTAAAGGGTCCACCTCTGATCTTTGGCATGGGGGCCTCTGGCAAGCCCAGCATTGTCTGTTCAAGAGATCCTGAGCATTTGGGCCCTACATGTGCAATGTGAGCTGCGGATGGCCAGACCTGGCCCCTTCCCTGCCATGACTGTCTCTCCTGTCGCCAGTGACTCACTCACTGGCTGGGTTTGATCCCCAGCACCACACAAATCCAGAGAGGGACAGGGAAGATGTCTCCAGTCAGCGAGAAAGGGAAGTGAAGTCACACATCATCAGAGGAGCCTCCGGAGAGCTCCTCCCACTACACACAGCTGCAGGAGGAGAAAACCAGTCCTGGCACCTCAGGACTTCCTGGCATCTCTGAGGAGTCCAGTCTCAAGGAGGGCGATCCTGGAGGCACCTTAAGGAGGCTCAAAGGAATGAGACTCAAAGAAGCGGCACAGAGATGATGGGTTCTCCTTGGGGTCCGTATCCACAGCTGTGAAATAACCAACTCTCTGCTGTCCGGTCAAGAGAATGTGGAGGGAATGTGCACCTACCACGCATGGGACAAGTGTGTGTGCTGCTCTGATGTCACAGTTCCTTGGGTCCAGGAGTGTCCCAAATGGTCAAAATTCAGTGATCGGGCACGCGCAGAAAGAAGAAACAAATTTGATGGCTCCTGTACCCACCCTGGCAGTAGCCTCCCCAGGACTCCTTATCCACTCCCCTAACTACAAGACTCATCGCCAAGTGCTCCCGAGTGGGTGGTTGTTGGGGCTGAGCAGCAAACAGTCCTAGCTGGGGGAGCACAGGGTGGCAGGCCTTAACATGTGCCAGGAAAACTCACACAGCATTCTGCGACCACACGGTGGCACTCTCCACTTTCCCAGGCCAGCACCAGGAAGGAAGGGCTGGTTCCAGCCCCTGCAGGGGAGGGAGTGACTGAGGCACCAGCACTCACCTTCAGGGACTTGGCTGATGCCTACCAGGCGGGTGGCCAGCCCAGGGAATCCAACCCCAGTGCCAGACACACAAACCCCAGGACCGCCCAGGGGAAGAGAAGGTGAAGAGAAACCCTGGCCACGCAGCAGGGGCGGCCCCTCACACTAGCTCACCACTGAATCCCCCCCGGGGGGGGGCAGTTCAGACACCCCCCTTAAGTGCCATGTCCCCCAAGCTACTGACCACCGAGCGCCCAAAGTGCCGGGCTACGCGCCCGCGTTTACATTTGGCTACTGAGGGCGGTGAGGGCACTTGGCAGGGGACCACACGGGGAGCCTCCCTTCCTCCCAACCCATCCATTCCTCGCGGACCTCATTCCCAACTCTGGGAGGGATTCTAGTCATGAATTTCCTGCCAACAGCCTTAATTGGTTACATGATCGATGAACTCTCGGCGTTAATTTCAAAGCCCATCACTGCTCTTATGCATGTATGTATTTAACATACGAAAAAGAAGAATTTTACAGCAGCTGCCAAGAGGCTCTTCAGACAATAAAATGTCCAGGTGGTATGAAGCAGGAGGTGTTCACTGTAGGGCCTCTAACACCACGGCTGCCTGTGATGACTCCTTTTGTTACTCATCCGATTGATCTGAAATCTCCGGGGATGACAGGATCTCCTGGGATCTGAAGATCTGCTGCACATGAGGGGTCTGCAGAGCCTTGACGGACTGTCGTGCTGCGACGGGCTGTGAAGACCCGATGGAGTGTGGTGACTCTGCGTTCTGTGGTTCTAGGGAGCCATGTGGAGGCTCGCTGCTCTGTCGTGCCAGGGGGACAATTGGTGATGGGGGGCGCTGTGGTGCCTGTGTCCCCTGTGCTCCCTGGGTCTTGGGAGTCTTGGCTGTCTTGGTCTCCTTGGCTGCTTTCTCCTCAGGAGTCCGTGCTGCTCTCTTCATGGCTTCCCTGGGCTCCCTGGAACAAGAAGAATACAGTCAGCTCTTGAAAGGGACGTGCCCCGTCTTCATCACTTCCTGACTTCAGGAAGGTATTGGAGCTGTTGCCATGGTTTACCCTGCGTCTTTATTGAAAATCTCATCCTCGTCAGAGGAATCCTTGTCATGGAGCTTCTGTGCCATGTTTTTTTACGTGTGGCCTTGAGTGGCTGATACATGTCTCTCAGCCACAGGGGCCGTCTTCGCCAGAAAAAGCCCTTCTGGAAAAGGCAAGGGGAGCGCGTAAGCCTGCACCCCGGCCCACTCTTGTCCTGCCTAAGTGCCGCCTCCCCCCAGTGGTTACCTGACTCTCGTGTTCCACTGAACTTCTATGCAGCAATAATCCAAAGAAGGTCCTTGGAGGAAAACACGGACGCACATGATTCATAACCCACCCCATTTCCCATCCTTCCTAGGATGGAGGTCTCTGGTCTTGTTTGGAAACTACCTTGGTCTGGAACCATGAGGAGTCAAACCACTAGGACCTGACACCTTGACAAAGTTTCCATGCATGCCTGTGGCAATTTTTAGAAATTTGTCGGGTCCATTCAAAGGGACCCCGTAGACTCTTGAGAGACCTTTATAGGTACCTGGCTTGGAAAACAGGCAGGATATTTATTTCTGGTTACCACCGTTGCCCCAGCAAATGCCCTGTGCAATGAACAAACTACCCACCACACCGAAAGCATTAGAGTCTGTCCAGAAGCTTTTCAACTGGTCGCCTCTGGATTTAGTCCCTCAGGCACCCTTTACCGGAAGTTGGGGCTGGGGGGATGATTCTATCGTCCTAGCTGCTTCATCCCAGATGCTGAACCAGAGTAAATGCCTGTGTGCAATTAGCCAAATCCTTTAGCTCACTAGTTTTCATGCTGCAGACAATCGCCCGTGAGCAAAGAAGCCACAGGTATCAGCATCAAAGGCAGGAACCGCACCGAGGCACGGAGATGAGTTTTGAGAGTGAAGAGAGGAGAGAGCAGTCTTGCACTTTACGGGCAGTGTTATCATGTGTACAGAGCCCGTGGGTGCTGAGTGGAGGCAAGAAACGCAGCTCCCAAGTCAATGGAGAGGTCCCAAGGGACAGGGACCATGCTCTTTCCCAATCACCAGCAGTGTGTTCCTAAGGGCAAGGTAGTTTCCATTCTCCCTCTATTCCTTTTAATAAGAGACAGAGACAGAGGTTGGGGATGTGGCTCAGTGGTAAAGTATTTGGCTTGCATGTGTGAGGCCCTGGGTTCAATTCCTGGCACCACACTGAGCACTGAGGCTGGAGTAGTCTCGAGCTAGTTAAAAGGGCCTTTTGGACATGAGGCTCCAACTCTGGCCTCTGGCTCCGTATGTCCTCCCTGAGCACAGGTGGGCTGGCATAGGTAACAGCCACCCCACAGGAGGGACTGAGCAGCCCGGACTTGCAGAGCCCTAAGACACTAACACTGAACTCAGGAGGCCCAGGTCACGGGCCAAGAAGCACACAGAAGGGCTCCAGGGTCCCCAAGAACCAGGGGGAGGACACTCCAGTGCAAGTGAAAGATTGTCAGACTAATATTTACCTGGATCTTCCATCTTTACTCTGTCTTGCTCTACAAGAATAAATCTGTTTTGGAAAAAAAATATGATCATGATTATCTCGGTGACCGATCTCTCTAAAACCTTATTAATTCCATCGACTTTGCTGTATCTACCCACTGATATCACTTTTTGAGAACAGGAATTCTCTCCTGTTTAATAGTCCCTGGACTCTCCTACAGCACATGACTGAAGGGGCACGTTAGGAATACAGCTTAGTGACTGTTTCAGAGAAATTCAGCGCATTAATCCAAATTAAAAACTATGAGGTAGGAAATTAAAAGTATCTGCCAAAACCCAAACACAGAAACATACTTTTGCACAACGTTTTCTAAACAATGTCAAGAACCAGTCTGATGCCTTTCCCATCACCACTCTGCATCCCCAGTGAGGAGTCCTCATCAATGCAGCAAGCAGAGTCGAGTCTTACAGGAGACAAAACTTGGTTGCATTTGCAATGATTCTTACCCAAAAAAACCCCAAAACAATAAAGGTCCTATGAGATATGTTATTCCTCGGGCTACAGATATCATACGGTGGGTGGGGCATTTGCATTGACTGTGGCTGACGCAGATTCGATCCCAGGACTCCAGATGGTTCCCTGAGCCCCACCTGGAGTGATGCCTGAGAGCAGAGCCAGGAATAAGCCCTGAGCACAGATGGCTGTTGCCCCAAATAAATAACTAAATCAATATGTCAACTCTTTGAGCGACTTAGACTGAAATTTCAATACCTGAAGCATTTCCGTGCTTTTGTCCTTAAGGAGATAAAACAGAACAGTGCAATAAGGAGCACGGGCTACTTTGTAGGTGACCCCCATGTTTGAAAGCGGGATGATAGGGCTGGGGAGGTAGCTCAGTGGGAGAATGCCTGCCTTGCATGCAGGAGACGTGGGGTCGGTACCCAGCACGACAAGAAGAGCAAAATTGGAGGGATGCTAATGCCGTCCTTAGAGGATTGCGAGGATTAAACCAGACAACATACAGGAAATTCCTTGTACTGTGGTTGGCATAAATCAGAGCTGTGTTTGCTGATGACGTCACAAAGGAGCGGCTTAAACATACCAAAGACTGAGAGAGCTCTTCCTCAGTCAGCACCATGGCTTCTAATTTATTCTAATTCTTTGTTGGTGGTTGTGGTGCTGCCAGGGATTGAACCCAGGGCCTCACACATGCAAGACAAGTGCAACATCACTAACCTATATCCCGAACCCCTTCCATCCCACGTTGCTGTTGTTCATTTTTTGAGGCTCTTCCTGCCAGCTGGTGCTTGCGGGGCCTACTTCTGGGGTGGTGCTCAGGGACCATGGAGCACTGTGGCTAGCATCTGGGGTTCCCACGTGCAAAGTGAATTGAAGTTTGAGTCTTTGGACTTATCTCCCTGGCCCTTAAATCACTTTTTTAATGTGCCTGCTGGGAAAAGTCAGTGGTGTGTCATTGAACAGAAGACAGATATAGGCAAGCTCCTGGAGTAACTACCGCACGCTGCCAGGCTTGAGAGTAGCCCAGCTCGGGCTCAGGCTGCAGTGCGGGTGTGTTTGGTTTGGGAGCCACCCAGTAATAGGCAGGAACAACTTGATTTGCTGTTTAGGGGTAGCTCCTGGTGGCTCTTGGGGGGGCGGGGAGGGCATGCATTGCCGAGGATGGAACCCAGGTCTCCCTCACGCAAAGCGTGAAAAGTAGCCCTCGGAGCTCTCTCCCAAGTCTTAGCTGCAGTGTTTTAACTTCATCCAGGGAGATGGTGCTTAAACCTAATGAGAGCTACTGCACTGGATCAGGTCCTAGGAGGGTGGAGATTCTACACTTTTGATCCTTCCAGTCAACAAGGAAAGTAATCAGTAGAAGAAAGTCAGTGAGTGTTAAGTTAAACCACTGACATCCTTTTGATTTAAAAAGGGGGAAAAAAAGTCTATATGGTGACCAGAGAGAGAGCTGAATGGTCAGAGTGCATGCTTTGCATGCAGAAGGGCCAGGCTGGATCCCTAGTTCTGCAAGGTCCCCTGAGCACCACCAGAAGTGACACCCCCTCTCCCCTCTGCACTGAGCTGGGGGCAGGCCCTGAACATCCCAGGATGTAGTCCCCGAACAGCGTACAGGAAGACTACTTTTTGTTTCATCTCTAGCCTTCTTAACTTTTCAAAATTTTCGAAAGCTTGTTATTTGGGTTCATTTCCACAGGGACCTCTTGGGAGTCAGTTCCCTTCAACAAACCCTGGGATTATCTTTGCAATATGAGAAGCAACCACACCTCATTACTCAAGACTGAAGAGGAAAATCAAGCATCAGTAGGAGGAAAAGGGGCTTTTATTTTCCATTTGAACCCCCTGAATCTATTATCATGACATTAAATCCTGGAAATCTGAATGAACTGTTCTTACCTCAATGAGACATAAAATTAAAACCAATATTATCACGACGACAGCCACATTTATCGCAACGACTGCTTTTTGATTGTGGTACACAACATATCCTGGAACTTTTATGAGCTGAAAAATAAAAATTATTTTCATGCATTACTTTTGGAGGGGCCACATTCAGTGATGATGAGGGGTTACTCTGGCTCTGCACTCGGAAATCACTCCTGGCTGACCAAAAGGGACGCTGGGCATAGAATTCGGGTTGGTGGCATGCAAAGTAAGTGCTTCACCCACTGTACTATCGCTTCAACACCCAGGAACAATTAAACAAAATGATGGGAAGGATTCTTAAGCCCGTTCTAAAGAATGGTTATCCTTCTACTAATCTAAAACCCCATCCTCTGAAAGGAGTGGACTATAGGTTTTTATTTTGTATGTGGTTTTATTTTGGGGTGGTTTGTTTTTCAGCCCATATCCGGGGTCCTCAGAGCTACTTCTCGCTCAGTACTCAGGGGGACTCTTTTTGAACTATCTCCTTGGCCCCAATATGTTCTTTTTTTCTTTTTTTTCAAATGTAGGAGTACTGCTATTTATTCAGTCACTGATTAGCTGATTAAATTGGGCATGAACTAGGCCCCAATATGTTCTTAAAGAGCACACCAGATCTATTATGCCATCTTGTCTGTAGCCTTTCCTTCTACAATTTATTTATCTGGTGTGTTAGGTCCTCTTCTTACCTCTCCTAGGAACAGTGCTACCTTTCTACAAACGAGCACAGGGACAATCATTCTTGTAGTCAAAGTTGTGTGGCCACAAAAAAGAGAGCGAGCCAGCAGGAGAGGGAGAGCCAAGACACCCTGGTCTTCTTGCTTGTGTTCTTTCATGGCATGGCCTGAGAGCCCGGAAGCCCCTGAGCCTGGTCACCGTGAGATTCAGTTACAAAGCTTTCCTGACCGTGATCCAGGTTCAGTCAGACAATGCTCCAACACCCATCCCTCCACCAGTGTACATTACCCACCAACAAAATCCCCGCATTCCTCCTGCCACCTCCTCCCCGCCCCCAGCCTACCTCTGCCTTTATGGCAGGAACTTTTCTTCTCTCTCTCTCTCTCTCTCTCTCTCTCTCTCTCTCTCTCTCTCTCTCTCTCCCTCCCTTTCTCTTCCCACCCCCCTCTTTCCCCCTTTCTTCCCTCCCCCCCCTTACTCTCTCCGCTCACTCCATGCCCCCCTTTTGGGCGTTATGGTTTGCAGTGCAGATACTGAGAGGTCATCATGTTTGATCCTGTACCCACTTCAGCACACATCTCCCACCCAGAGCTATCCCTTCCAACTATCATTGTTACAGTGATCCCTTCTCTATCCCAGCTGCCTTCTCTGCCAGCCCTTGAGGCAGGCTTCCAACCGTGGACCATTCATCCTGGCCATTGTTTCTAACTGTCCTTGGGTGTTAATCTCATAGTAAGTTTTAGTGATTTTTACGTCCCATAAATGAGTGCAATCATTCTATGTCTGTCCTTCTGGCTTATTTCACTCTGCATGAGACTCCGTTAAAAAAACAAAAGTCTGTCCTCACCTCACTTGCCTCCGGCTGTTTCTGATCACCCTGGCCTTCGGTATTCTCACTGATGTAGTTCTCAGCCTCCCGCTGGTCCGTATCCCATTCTTCACTGGACACCTTTACGTCCTGCCGCTCACTAAGAAGCTTCATCAGGAGCCCGGTTTTGTGGACCACCTTGGCACACTCCAGTTGCACCCGGGGATCGGAGCAGTCCATTTTCAGAGTCCGAATTACTTGGGCAATGAACTTCCTCACATTACTGTTGGGGATAAGGGGCCGCAACTTCTGGATGAGCTGCATCTCAAGTTCGTCTCTGGGGTCGGGTTTCTGTGGGGGGGAGTCGATGTCGGTGGCCACCTTCTGATATTCCCACTGCATCTCGTTGGGCTGTCTGACAGCCGGCATGAGGCTGTCCTCCGTCCCCTCTTCCTCCTCAGGGGCAGTGCTTTGGATACCGGCAGTTTTCTCTGGCGGCACGATGCTTCTGGCATCCCCCCCGTTTGGAGCACGCGTGCTCTCCGCGGTCTTCTTTTCCCGGCTGGAGCGCAATGAAAGGAATGGCTCCATGACAGGTTTGTTCTGGTGCCTCCAGGACAGAGACGCCCCCCTCGGCGGGGAGTTGACGAGGCGCTTCACTGCACCGAAAGGAGGCCTCCTGGCCAGCACCGGCCTCTGCGGTGCTGCTTCTTTTGTCGCTGTGTTCACTCTGGCCTGGGGTATTCTGCGGCCCAGCTGAGAGTCAAGTTTACGAAACAGGTAGTTCTTCCCGGGGAGTGGCCCGGGGCTGGGAACCTTCATGTTCCGAACTCGAGCGCCCGCATCCTCTAAGACGCGTAGAGTTCTTTTCAGGTCTTTGGATGGGATTTCGTCCTCCGGTGGCACTTGGAAAGCAGCGGCGGCAGACGGGCTGCCCATGGAGTGCTGTTCCAGGGGCACGGAGGCCGGCGCCCTGTGCTCCTGGATGAAGGATGACTCCTCGTTGAAGGAGCTTTCCACCAATTTCCTGGGCCTCCCTGCCAAGATAAAGTCTTTCGGTCTTTCCGGGGCCAGCTGCCTGTGCCGTCTTTCTTGGGCAATGTTCCCCGCCATGGACCAAGCCTTCCCTCGCCTCTGGCTGAGGGGAGTGCCCTCTTCTTTGAAGTAACTCTTCTGCAGGCCCCCGGGATCCTTGAGCACGCTGCTCCCTTGCAGTGGTTGCGTCTCCCACTCCTGAACATTTCCTAAGTGTTTTTTCTTTGGTGGCCCGACAGTTTCCAATTTCTTTGGAAAAAAATGGCGTTTAAATTTGGGCCCGAAAAGACTGGAATGGACCTGCGTGGCAGTTTTCTCCTTCTTTCTAACTTTGTGGACTTTTTCTTGAATTTCTGTGTTGATTAGACTTTGGAGAACATGGATTTTTTTCACCTTATTGTAGATTTCACTGTTGGATTCGGGCTGTATAGAAATCCAAGCCGTGCTGGTTTTCGAAGGAGCCAGAGGATTTCCTCCATCTTGCACATCTTTAAAAAGAAACTTAATGAAGGATAACAATGTTGGTTCTGCATCTATGTCCCCAACCTGTAACAAAGACATTATGGAATCTAGTCTAGTAAGCATATCACGCTGATGACTATTGTCTAGCTGTTCATGATGGAAAAAGGACAGGCTGTTTCTCTCGGATGAGGCCTTCTCTGGTTCAATCGTCAGCTCGGTGCTGGTACTCTTCTTTCGGGCCTGTAAAGCCTTCATGAATTCCCCGTCCATATTACTGATGTATTGTTCTTCACCTGTCAAAAAGGTAGAGCTTGCTTTTGATCATGAAAGATAACTGGGGATAATTTTGGGAGCATCTACAGACATAAGTTCCAGGTAAGTAAACTAGTAATCAGTGAACAAGTGCCGTATGGTGTGTGTGTGTGGGAGGGGGGCACAGGAAACCCTAAATTTACATCTGTGACTGGCAAAAACAGAAGGAGAAACAAAGTGATCATCGCTATTTATTCAGAATAAATAGGGCATGGAGTTCAGTACATGTATTTAGGATTATTCAACTGGGGGGCAGAGTGACAGTAGAGCAGATAAAGGCCTCGTCTTGTAGGCAGCCAACCTGGGTCTTATCCCCAGCACCCCATACGCTCCCTCAAGCCTTACTAGTTCTGACCCCAGAACACAAAGTTAGGAGTAAACTTTGAGCACTTCTGAGGATGCTGCCAAACAAGCAAACACACAAACAATAATCATACGATTATTCCACTGATCTCCAAGGATCAAGTACCCAGTCTTCAGGACAAATATTTGCTGCTCAGTTAGACTCTTTACAGATCAACTATGATTTTTCTTTTTTTTAATTTTTATTAGTCAAACACCATGAGGTACCGTTTTAGATTTACAAATTTTTGTGCTTGGGTTTCAGTTATACAATGATTGGGTACCCATCCCTCAACCAGTGCCCATTCTCCACCACCAATGATCCCAGTATACCTCCCAACCCCCCTCCCCTCCTCCCATCCCACCCCGCCTCTGTGGCAGGGCATTCCGTTTGGTTCTCTCTCTCTCTTTTGGGGTGCTGTGGTTTGCAAAAGAGGAACTGAGTGGCAATCATGTTCGGTCTATAGTCTACTTTCAGCATGCATCTCCCATCCTGGGAGGATCCTCCCAACACTCTTGACTTGCTGCTCCCTTCTCTATCTGGGCTGCCTTTTCCCCTAGCATATGTGGCTGGCCTCCAAGCCATGGAGCAAACCTCCTGGTACTTATCTCAACTATTCTTGGGTGACGGTCTCCCATTTTGTTACTTTATATTTCACAGACGAATGCAATCTTTCTATGTCCCTCTTTCTGACTGATTTAACTTAGCATGATATTTTCGATGTAGTACCACTTATATGTAAATTTCATCACTTCATCTTTTCTAACAACTGCATAGTACTCCATTGTGTAGATGTACCAAAGTTTCTTTAACCAGTCATCTGTTCTCGGGCACTCAGGTTTTTTCTAGATTTTGGCTACTGTGGGCTGGAGCAATAGCATAGTGGGTAGGGTGTTTGCCTTACATGCGGCCCACCAGGCTGACCTGGGTTCAATTCCTCTGCCCCTCTTGGAGAGCCTGGCAAGCTACTGAGAGTGTCTCGGCTGCACAGCAAAGCCTGGCAAGCTACCTGTGACGTATTCATATGCCAAACACAGTAACAACAAGTCTTACAAATTGAGACGTTACTGGGCCTGCTCGAGCAAACTGATGAACAATGGGAGGACAGCGTTACAGTGCTACAGTGCTTGGCTACTGTGAACAGTGCAGCAATGAACATAGAAGTGCAGATGTCATTTGGACTGTAATTTTTTGCCTCTCCGGGATATATTCCCAGGAGTGGTATTCCTGGTGAAATATTGATGTTTCTATTGATATGATCATATGGTTTTTATCTTTACTTTTGTTGATATGATGGATTATGTTGACTGACTTCCAAATGGTAAACCATCCTTGCATCCCCTAGATGAATGCCACTTGGTCGTGGTGTATGATCTTTTTGATGAGTTGTTGGATTCTATTTGTTAATATTTTGTTGAGGATTTTCACAACCATGTTCATCAGAGATATTAGCCTGGAATTTTCTTTGTTAGTGGTGTCCTTGTTTGCTTTTGGTATTGGGAAGATAAGTGCCTCATAGAAGCTGTTTGTGAGAGTTCCTGTTTTTTTCAATTTCATGGAAAAGCTTGAGGAGAACTGGCAAAAGGTCTTCTTTAAATGTTGGGAAGAATTCGCTAGTGAATCCATCTGGGCCTGCGCTTTTGTTTTTGGGAAGACTTTTGATTTCGGTTTCATTTCCTTGATATGAATGAGTCTATTCAGGCATTCCAAGTCTTCTTGGTTCAGTCTTGGGAGATTATAGGAATCCAGGAACGTATCCATTTCTCTAGGTTATCTTGTTTCATGGCATACAGACTCTCAAAGCAGTCTCTGATGATCTTTTGAATTGCATTGGTTTCTGTTGCGATGTCCCCTTTTTCATTTCTGATTTGGTTTATTAGGGCTCTCTCTCTCTCTTTCATTGTGAGTCTTGTTAGTGGCTTATCGATCTTGTTTATTTTCTCAAAGAACCAGCTCTTGATTTCACTGACCTTTCGGATTGTTTTTTGGGTTTCCATGTCTGATTTCTGCTCTAAGTTTTATTATTTCTTTCCTTCAGCGGGGCTCGAGTTCCTTTTTTTGGTTATTTTCTAAGATCTTGAGCTGTGAGGTCAGGTTATCTAAGAGGCCCTTTCTTCCTTCCTTAGGAATGCTTGCAAAGCTACAAATTTTCCTCTTAACACAGCTTTAGCTGCATTCCATAGGTTCCGATAGCTTGTGTCTTCATTCACATTTGTTTCCAAGTATTTTTTTATTTCGTCCTTGACTTCCTTCCAGATCCACTCGTTGTTCAACTTTGAGTTGTTTAATTTCCAGGTGTTTGATTTGTCTCTCCGTGTCTGTGTATGCTTCGCTCCTATCTTCAGCACATCGTGGTCTGAAAAGATTGTTGATACTATTTCTATCTTCCGGATTCTATTGAGGTCGGTTTTGTGACCTTACATGTGGCCTTTCTGTTTTTGGACAGTGTTCCGTGTGCACTGGAAAAGAATGTGTATTCTTTCTTTTTGGGGTGTAAAGCCCTGTATAGGTCTATTAGCCCTCTCTCTACTATTTCTTCCTTCAAAGTCAATGTCTAGCATGCTGAGTTTTGTTCTTGTTGACCTATCCAGAGATGATAAGGCGATGTTGAATTCTCTGACTACTATTGTGTTGCTAGCAATGTCCTCCTTGAAATCTGTTAGCAGTTGTTTTAACTATTTAGCTGGTCCCTCATTAAGTGTGTATGAATTTAAGAGTGTGATTTCTTCCTGTTACACATATCCCTTGATAAACAGAAAATGACCTTTGCTGTTCCTTCTAGTCTTTTTCAACCTGAAATTTATGTTGTCGTATATTAGTGTGGCTACCCCAGATTTTTTGAGGGAGGTGTCTGCTTGCAGGATTGCTTTCCATCCTTTAACTTTGAGTCTGTGTTTGCTCTGACCATTCAGATTAGTTTCTTGTAGGCAGCAGAATGTTGGGTTCAGTTTCCGAATTCATTCTGCCACTGTGTCTCTTGATTGGTGCATTTAGACCATTGATGTTGAGAGAGATTATTGTTAGAGAGTTTTGTGCCATCTTTCTGTAGGGACTTGTTGTGCTTGTAGGGTGTTTTCTTGTCTTATAGAAGCCCTCTTAGTGGTTCTTTCAAGTTTGGCTTTGTCTATGAAGTTCCTGAGCTGTTGTTTATCCATGAAATAGTGTATGGTTCCTTCCGAGTTTGAATGAGAGTTTAGCTGGATAGAGTACTCTTGGTGAGGCGTTCATTTCATTGAGTTTTTTCACTATATCCCCCCATTGCCTTTGGGCTTGGAGGGTTTCCTCTGACAGGTCTGCTGTAAATGTACAGGGTGCTCCTATGTATGTGGCATCCTTCTTCAACCTTGCTGCTTGCAGGATCATTTCTCTATCCATATCATCCATCATTCTGACTCTGATGTGTCTTGGAGTCTTTTTATTAGGGTCTCTTTTACTTGGCACCCTTCGGGCTCCTTGGGTCCGGATGCCTGCATTCTCCAGCTCTGGGAACTTTTCGGCAATGATATGTTTAACTGTGGCTTTTTCATTGGGGTTGCCTCCCTGTCCTTCTGGTACTCTGATGATTCTTACTTGCTCCTCTTGGATTCATCCCCTAGGACTCTGATTCACCCCAGGGCTATTTTGAGGTCTTTTCCCATGGTCTGTTGTTGTCTGTAAGCTTTCTGGTGCTCATCTTCAAGCTTACTGATTCTGTCCTCAGCTGTAGCCATTCTACTGGTGAGGGCACTCACTGAGTTTTTTATTTCATCTATCAAATCCTTTATTCATGACATTTGTTTGCAGCTTTTCTATTTCTGCTCTCATTTCTTCCGGTATTTTGTTGGCTGCCTGTTCCACTGTTTCATTCAAGTCCTCTTTTAATTTCCTGGATGTCTGTTCCACTGTTTCTTTGAGTTCATTGAACATCTTCAACATTTTGATTCTGAATTCCTTATTGGAGAGACTGTTTTTGTGAGTAGACCCTGTTGGGGGCCTCTGGACCTTTTTCTTCATCTTCCCCTCGTGGCGTGGTGGGGATCTGTGCTGTTTCTTCATGTTGTGGTGGTAGTATGAAGGTGGGAACCACAGTTCACTATGAGTTTTCCCTCTTGGTTAATTTGGGGATTCTGGGTGAGCTCGGTCTAGTGGTCGCCTTTTTCCCCTTCAGGAGTTGTGGCTTCCTCTCATGTTCTCCTCTGTGGCCTCTGGTGGAGCTTCGGGGGATGTAGTCCTTTACATTGGACTTGTACACGTCTACGGGTATTGTGGTGCAACTGGGATGAGCTAGTGGATTATTGGCCTGATGTATTTGAGATTGCCGAGACATTCTCCCCCGAGTTACGTGACGGAGGTCAAGATATGAGTCCAAATTGCTAGGAAAGGGGAAAATAACTGCTGCCCTCAGAGTAGGCCATGCCCCCTATCCACGCCCCCTAGCTCAAAGGCCAGGCTCCCTGGCTCAGAGGCCACACCTACAGGACCAGGCTGACCGCTGGTTCGGCTGGGACTAGGGGAGCTAGAAACAGTAGTTGGGGGTTGGAAGGTGCTGTTTCTCTTTAACTCTTTGGTGTGCTAATCTTGTTACTGTCATAGGTTACTGTCACAGACAACGAAGAAATTCCTCCAGAAATCAGATCCTCTTCTGAATGCATCCATTCTCCACCTACCAACTAATCACGATCACAACCATCCTGTTGTTCATCGATTGCCTCGAGCAGGCCCCAGTAACGTCTCCTTCATCCTAGCCCTGAGATTTTTTAAAAGTGCCATATTAAAGGCTCTTTCAGGGTTAGGAGAATGAGCCCCATCATTGTTACTGGTATTGGGCATATTAGGTACACCACGGGGAGTTTGCCAGACTCTGCCCTGTGGGCAGGTTACATCTGGTAGCCTACCATTTTGTCCAAAGTTAGAATGAGATAATAAGGTGTATGTGGCTGCGCACTTCTGGGATCTAGGTTTTATAATCTCTGGGTCTTGGCTGCTGATGGGATTACACGGCGCCAGGGGGCCAGTTGGTGGGTGTGACCCCTGCCTACTGGAATATGGAGGATCTGGGTGGAGGATGCTCAGCCCCGATCGAGCAGGCTTGGAGATCTCAGCCCCGGGACCCGTATGCCTTTGTTCCTCTGCTGGTACCTTCATGCATGCGGAGAGCGGTCTCAGCATGGTGGTGGCTGGTTCTGGAGGTCTTTGGCTGCCAGAGCCCTGGTCGGGACGGGGAGGGAAACTCAACCCACTCCCCTCCAGGGGCCCTGGCGAGGACAGCCAGGCGCGGGGGCAGGAGACTCTGCGCTGTTCTCTTCCGGGATCTGGGTTTTATAGTCTCTGGGTCTTGGTCGCTGATGAGATTACACGGCGCCAGGGGGCCAGTTGGTGGGTGTGACCCCTGCCTACTGGAATATGGAGGATATGGGTGGAGGATGCTCAGCCCCTATCCGAGCAGACTTGGAGATCTCAGCCCCGGGACCCGCATGCCTTTGTTCCTCTGCCCGGTACCTTCATGCGTGCCAACTAATACTTTTACCAACTAATACTTTTATTTATTAGTCCTCAGTTTCATATTGTTGAATCTGGACAGATGTCTAAGTATAGGTTAATGGATTAGCCAGAGTATATGTCAATGTGCAATGTTGAGAAAATCTTTGTTTTGTTTTGTGTGGGGGCAACACTTGGTGATGCTCAGGGGTTACTCCTGGTTCACTGCTCACAAAAATCACTCCTGTTGGTGCTTGGGAAACTGTATAGTATGTCGGCAATGGAATTCAGGTCATTTGTGTGCAAGGCAAGTCCCCTACCCACTATACTATCTCCCTACCCGCTGTCCTATCTCTCTGGCCCCTGAAATAACATTGGAGATCCCAAAATTGGGGAAAACAACTCTTATTAGATGTGTATTTGCCTTCACTTACTTCCTAATACTTCCAGCTCTACCTAGGGAACCATACAAAGTTTCTGACTTCTTGAAGGTCAAGTGTAAAATTGTGCACTTGGGTTTCTTTTGGTGTGGGGGGCGGTGGGGTCAAACCCAGCAATGCTCAGGGGTTACTCCGGTCTCTGTGCTCAGGGATCACTCCTGGTAGTAATTTGGGATCATCTGAGATGCTAGGGATCCAACCCAGGTCTGCCATATGCAAGGCAAGTGCCCAATTGCTAGACTATCTTTCCAACCAAACTTTACTGAGAATTAAAAGTTCTTTTGGTGGTGGTGAAATTTAGAGGGGGAGTTAAGGGATGTGAGGAAGAAGCATGGACTTGCAGGGAGTCCCAGACTGGGAACACAAGATCTAGGCATTAGGCATATTTAACACTTTTTGTTTTTCTATTATTCACTTAAAAATGTTATTAGTATTTTTATTCTGAATTTAGATTATTTGGTTTAGTTATTCTTTGGGGCTGGAGCGATAGCACAGCAGGTAGGGCGTTTGCCTTGCACGCAGCCAACATGGCCGACCTGAGTTGGATCCCTCCGCCCCTCTCGGAGAGCCAGGCAAGCTACCAAGAGTATTTCGCCCACACAGCAAAGCCTGGCAAGCTACCCGTGACATATTCGATATGCCAAACACAGTAACAAGTTTCACAATGTTACTGGGCCCGCTCGAGCAAATTGATGAACAGCTGCAGGACAGTGATCAGTGATCAGGTATTCTTTAAATAACATTATTATTATTATTATTATTATTATTACTTTTTAAGTAACATTATTAAAGTTGAAGTAACATGATTACAAAATACGAATGCTATTGGTTTCCATGTACAAAGTGAACTTTACCTGGACCACCGCCGAAGTGCCGAGACACCACAGTTCATACATCCCCTCTAATCTGACTCTTTCCCCGCCCCCCCAACAAATCCCCAGGTTTGATGTTCATCTTATGAAAGGTGAGTCGTAAATGTTGTTATGCCCATCTCTGAGAAGAGAGTAATAGATTTGTTAAAAATTGATTTTAAAAGTAACATTATCTTTGTGTAAGAAGCAAAGTGATGTGATATGCCCAATTGCTGATAGCGAAGCAGATTCATAATATCCCGGCATGAAAACACTTTTTTTGGTGGTATGTGTGTGTGTGTTGTGTGTGTGTGCGTTGTGTGTGCGCATGTGCTCGTGCATTCGCCATACAGCAGTGCCCAAGGGATACTCTCAGCAGTTCTTCGAAAATTATTTTATGGGGGATTGAACCCACACCTCCCACATGAAAAGCATGTGTTGCAACCTATTGATCTATTTTCCTGGGCCCCTAAAAGGACACTGCGGAAGTTATCAAGTAAACTTACTATGTGGAAATATATAAGGGCACCTGAGTGCTTTGTGGATTTGAAGGGTTAAAATTCAAAGTAGGTTTGGAGGTGGGGATGCTCTAAGAATCCATCATTAGAAGGACTGAGTGGCAGCCTATGCTTAGAAAACCAGAATTTCTCAGGCTCTAAGCAAAACGTGCATAAGATAGTATGACTTGTACTTGCCTATAAAATTATAAAAACACATGCAATAAGGTAGCTACACCAGTCCTATAAAGAAAAGGGCAACTGATATTTCTTGTGTATAAAATCTGTTTGCAAACTGCATTGTGTGGCTGAGCTCTCATCTGGAGGACCAACACCTTGCCCAGAGAGTGGCACTCAGTTGTGACCATGAATGATAGCTCCCTTTCCCACTTCCATCCCTTTCTTCCATTCCTCTTAAACCTTCAGGTCATTCATATACTGCGAAGGTAATGATGTGGCTGAGATTCTGACTTTTGCCAAGGGAAATAGCTCATGGAAATATAGGGAGTTGAACTCCGAATAAAAATAATGCACTCCATAATCAGCTTCAAATGTACCATCAGTGATTAAAATAAAAATGAAACATAAATTAAAAACCTATCAGCAGGCAATCCAACTCACCGCAGGGTGTACTACTGGTAAGACATTCACTGTCACAACGTAGTTTGACTGTCTTGTAGACAACGTCAATATTATTTTTAAATTGGCAGAGGCAGCAGGTTAGATGGTTAGGTAAGATCCTATGAATGGAAACACAGAGAATTAAGTGCAGAGTCAAGAGGTTACTTTAAATAGGTAGAAGAGGCAGTCAAGGCCACTGAGCAGCTATTGAAAAAGTTCCTGAGAAACATGGATGAGGTGTTGCTCAAACTCTGAGGTGGTGGGAACCCAACTGGGAGGTGATGCATGCAAAGCGTGTACTATTGCTCCAGCCCTCAGAAAACTGAGTTTTGTTTTTTGGTCATATCTGGTGGTGCTCAGGGGTTGCTCTGGGCTCTTGGCTCAGGGATCATTCCTAGCAGGCTCGGGAAACCATAGGCAGTGCGAGAGGCTGAATGTGGGTTAGCCACATGCAAATCAAATACCTAACTCACTATCCTATCTCTCCAGCTCCCAGATAACAATAAAAAAACATCAGTTACAACCTGGGGTGTTATTTCTCTATGGAGTGATCAGTCGGGGGCGCAGAGATAAGCAACATTCATGGAATGAGGTAGCGTGGAGGGCCAAGAGTTCTCTCAGACAAATGGCATTAATCAAACCCAGCAACCTTCTTTTATTGTAATACAGTACACTAGGGGATGCATCACAAATCCATGTGGACAAAAGGCTATTGATCTTGCTCTGTCGATGATTAACCTCCCATCCCCATATTTCAATCATCTACATTTCCGTCTAGACAGGATGTCCCCTCTAACTTTGCCTAAACAAAGCATAGCATAATCAATCAGTGTCAAGAAGGAGCTGCATCATGACATGCTGACCCCTGCCCAGTTCAATCAGAGTTCCAAGCTGCTTCCAGCATGACACTGAAAGCAAGGCAGTGTCTGTAGGAACTTCCTCATGACTCTGGTCGGGCTCCAACATCTCCCCCTTTTTGTTTTGCAGCCAGCTTAGCCTTCATGACGACATGTGCAGCGTGTTGTTGTTGGGCTATTCTGTTTTGTTTTCTGAATTTTTGGCAGGCTATGTAAAAAAGAAACAACAGAACAATAAGTACAGACATACTAATAAAGCCCATCACAAGGACTAGAATATACTTCTTAGGATTTAGTTGAGTGATCCCATCCAACAATCCACCCCCAATGGTATCCGGTCCCCAGACTTGCAAGTGGGCCTGAAATACAGAGTGAATGTTAGTTTGCAACTCTATGATTTTGTCGGTCATATTTTTGATGGTTTAACAAATGCTTTTTAACCTTTTCCCATGGAGATTTAGACTCATAATAAGGTACAGGAGTTATACAAATGCAGAAGTATTCCAATCACATTTTAGAGTGCGTTGTCTTCTTAAACTCGGTAGCTGGTCACCGAGTAGGGTAACAGTTCGTGTAACATCGGACGATTCCTCTTGTAATCCTGCATCAACTTGTCACTGGGTTGTCCACAGTCTCTGAAAGTCCTGATGCTCTTTCTTTCTTTCTTTCTTTCTTTCTTTCTTTCTTTCTTTCTTTCTTTATTCTTCTTTTTGCTTTTCGGGTCACACCTGGAGATGCACAGGGGTTACTCCTGGCTCTGCACTCAGAAATTACTCCTGGCAGTGCCCAGGGGAATATATGGGATGCTGGGAATCAAACCAGGGTCAGCCACATGCAAGGCAAATGCCCTACCTGCTGTGCTATCGCTCCAGCCCCCTCGTGCCGTTTCTTAACAAACTCAGCAGTCTGAGATCCTTGCCTCAATGCAATACAAGCCGTTGATGCTGTAGCAGTGATGGCAACGAGTCCCATGATAACAGCAATTACGAGGCCTACAAACCTCTTTGTGTGTGGTGCCAGGTGAGTGACCAGCCGGTGAAGAATGTTGGTAGCTGGACTGTCTTCCCACAAGCGGTTAAGCCACACAGGCATCTATACCCCCATGCAAGCTGTAAGAAGATAGATGCTTTCTTCTGCTGTGAGACTCACAGAGTTAAGAATACAAGTGAACATAGAGCAGTCACTGCATGATATTACCTCTGCTACTTTATCCCAGCTAATACCCCCTTTCAGCATGACATATGGCAGTGGGACACAAGCCTGTATACAGCGGGTAAGATTTCTATCAAAATGTAAAGTACGTTTTGTTCCGACATTGTTATGTTGGATAAAACTGTCCGGGCTGTCATGTATCCAAAGGAATTCCCTATTTTCCATAGATGATTTTGTTTCTTATGCCCAGGAAGGAAGGGTGTAGGAGGCGGAAAGCTACCTCCGCACCCCATTATGCCAATATTCACTGTATCACTGTCATCCCCTTGTTCATCGATTTACTCAAGTGGGCACCAGTAACGTCTCCATTCGTCCCAGCCCTGAGATTTTAGCAGCCTCTCCTTACTCATCTTTCCCAACATATTGGAGGCTCTTTCTGGGTCAGGGGAATGAGATCCTTTATTGCTACACTTTTGGCATATCGAATATGTCATGGCTTGCTTGCCAGGCTCTGATGTACAGGTGGACTCTTGGTAGCTTGCTGTGCTCTCCAAGAGGTATCTATCTTATCTATCTATCTATCTATCTATCTATCTATCTATCTATCTATCTATCGATATAGGTAATTTGTTGCTTTCTGTCTGAACCCCATCAAATCTGGTGTGGCAATTATGGAGAATGGGTAGGAAGTGTCTTGTGATATGTCGCAGCCGTGTGGACATATCACAGCCGTGTGGTCCAGGAATATGTTCACTCATGTGAGGCTCGGCCCAAGCAAGTAGGGAGTGGCCTGGAGCGTGGCTGCGGTTGGGTTGTGGAGGTCAGTTGCTGGGGCTGGGTCCCTTGGGGCGGGGAGGGCTCCCACTCGTCCCCCTCTGGGGCATCCTGCGTGAAAAAAGCCTGGTGCAGAGTCTGGTGTCATGTTATGGGGTCCTCATTTTATGCTCCCTTCTGGAGGGTGGCCGATGAGAAGATTATCTGGCACAAGCAGGGTGTGGCTTATCGGTGTGACCCGTGGGTCACCGGAGACTGGAGGAAGCAGGCAGAGGATCTCTGCTCCTGGCTACCGTTTAAGCCCGGAGTCCAAGGTCATAAAGTTCTGCATTACCTGGGTTCCGTAGGACTTCACTCATCCGTGAGCTTCAGCCCGAGCATATGGAAAGTGGCCTGAGCATGGCAGCAGTTGGGTAGTGGAGGTCACTGCTGGGGCTGGGTCCCTTGGGGCACCCCAAGTGAAAACAGCCTGGCATGGAGTCCAGTGGCATGGTTATGGGGGCCTCATTTTATGCTTCCTTCTGGAGGAACAGCTATGAGTTCTGGAGGGTGGCTGATGACGAGGTTATCTGGCGCTGGCAGGGTGTGGCTTATGGCTTATGCTAATATTAGAGTTAATTATAATTTGGGACACTTCAGAGCCTTGTATTGCTCCCCAATTCAGAACATTCTTTAGTTCCTTTTGCCCAGGCTGAGCCTACTGGACTCCAATCAATATTTTTTCCATAAGAGGAATCAATATAGATTCTAGCTTTTTCTCCTCTACATCGTTTCCAATATATCCAGTTTTCTAATTCAATAACTTTAGGGAGTTCACATAGGAGGCAGAGATGGTAGAGTATCATAACTTTCACTTCCAGTATCCAGAAACCCATTTGCTGCGAGCAATAACAATGGTTTTTTTTTTTTTTTTTGCATTTTGGGTCACACCTGGCAATGCTCAGGGGTTACTCCTGGCTCATGCACTCAGGAATTGCTCCTGGCGGTGCTCAGGGGACCATATGGGGTGCTGGGAATCGAAGCTGTGTTGGCCATGTTGGCTGCGTGCAAGGCAAACGCCCTACCCGCTGTGCTATTGCTCCAGCCCCAATGGTTTTTTTTTAAGCAATGGTTTTTTATTGCTTCAGTAGATTCAGTAGAATTGTGATATTCAGCCATTCAGTATTGCGTGTGTGTTTTTAAGCAATGACTCCCGTTGCTAGTGCAGACAGGCATCCCTTCCACCCTGATAACATATTCAGGAAAATTTGTGCCTTCTTCTTTGGGTTTGATTAGGTCTCTACCATCAGCCTGGCACCAAGTCTGGTGGCACGGCTATGGGGTCCTCATGTTATGTTCCCTTCTGGGAGAAGTAGCCCTGTGATCTGGATGCTGGCTGATGACGAGATTATCTAGCGCTGGCAGGAGGTGGCTTCTGGGAGTGACCCCTGTGTCACTGAAGACTGGGGGAAACAGGCAGAGGATCTCTGCTTCCGGGTCCTGTTGAGCCCAGAATCCAAGCTCACAAAGTTCCACATTACCTGGGTTCCTTGGGACTTCACTCATGCGTGAGACTCAGCCCGAGTGAGAGGGGAGTGGCCAGGAGCATGGTGGTGGTTGGCTTGTGGAAGTCGACTGCCGGGCTGGGTCCCACAGGAGTGGGGGGGGGGGGGGAATGAGAGAGACAGGCCCATCCCCTATCCCTGGAGGCCTGGAGTTTGCTGTCACTGAAACTGCATACCTGCACTTCTCATTGGGTTCTGGATGTTGGTGGCCCCTGGGATTTTTAGGGGGCAGGTGGGACCCTGGAGGTCATGCCCACAAACTGCCTCTGGCTGCTTCTTAAGCTCCTTAATGGTCATGATCCAGAGATACACAAAAGAATTTCTGAACTGAGCAGCTCTCTGCCTTCTCCCCATCCTAATTATCTAAAACTTTAGAATTCCAGGAACACACAGCCACTTTTGTGGCCGAACGGCATTGTACTATTCATAACAAGCAATACAAACGAGAGTATGAGGGAAATTGTCTGCCATAGAGGCAGGGGGAGGGGTGGGATGGGGGCGGGTATACTGGGGACATTGGTGGTGGAAGATGTGCACTGGTGGAGGGTTGGGTGTCCTATCATTGTATGACTGAAACTCAAACAGGGAAGCTTTGTAACTGTATCTCACGGATTCAATGATTTTAAAAAATAAATAAATAAAATTACCATTCTGAAAATAAAGTAATGTGGAGTTCATGCCAAATTCAATTAGCTTAATCAATGGCTGAATAAATACCAGTACCCCTACAAAAAGAGGGAGAGAGAGAGACTGAGAGAGAGAGAGAGAGAGAAAGAAATAAACAAGCCTTAAAAAAATTAAGTGAATTAAATGTCAGAAAATCAACTTACAGTTTTTCTAGCTTAAGATTCATCATGAGGATGTTTTGAACTGCTGCAAGTGTCACTTGTGTTGCTCCCATGTCTCTGAGGGAGAAAGCACAAGCATGATGTGAATCCAAATACAGAAGCTCTAGAGTTAAATAGATGAGATAAATGAAGTGATAACTTTGATTCTGGCTTTGCTGTAAATCCAGGTCAACTGTTTGCTGTAGACTATAATTCCAGAGAGCTCTTGCTGATAAAAGACTTTTCTATCATCAAATTAATGACACTTTGGAGAATAAAAAAATTTCCTTCCTTCCTTCCTTCCTTCCTTCCTTCCTTCCTTCTTTCCTCCCTCCCTCCCTCCTTCCTTCCTTTTCTCCCTCTCTCTCCCCTTCCTTCCCTCCTTCCTTCTCTTCTTCCCTGATTCCCTTCTTCCTTCCTTCCTTCCTTCCTTCCTTCCTTCCTTCCTTCCTTCCTTCCTTCCCTCCCTCCCTCCCTGCTTCCTTCCTTCCTTTCTTCCTTCCTTTCTTGTCCGACTTCTCATTCTAAATTGTATCTACTCCTTTCAATGATTCTTTTTCATGTGAGCTGCGGGTGGCCTTGGATTTTGGCCACATCTGATAGTACATGGGGGATATGTTGGGCACTGTACTTGTGGGTTACTCTGAGTAGAGATCTGGGGAACACATAAGGGGCCAGAGGTCGAATCCAGGCCTCCAAGCAAGCAGTGCATGGGCTCCAACCACTCACCTATCTGGTCCTCTTTTCTTTACTTTCTTTTTTCAATAATGTGTCCATTATTACTTGTTACTTTCTGAATAAATAATACTTCTACACGCATCTGTATGTTTCTTATCTATATGTACTCAACATAGCTCTTTTCCTCTGTTGGCTGTTGCCCATGTCATTCTTTCTTAATCTTTTCCTTTGAGAATAACTGTCATTTCAATAATCCAGTGTTAAAATTAAAATTATAACTTTTAAATTCAATGCAAAACACTTTATCTTTGACAAAAGTGGAGAAAAATAAAGACAGCAAATCATAGCAGAAACCATATAAGCTACAAACTTATTACAATACTTACAGATATTTTAATGCTGGCAATTTAAAAAGATAAAAATCTTCAATAGTTGTTAGGGGATTATGGTTGAGAATTCTAAAAAAAGAATTAAAATTATATGCATAATCAGTATGTAGCATTAACATTTATATTTAATTTATTGGCATGAAAAGGTAAAGGTAAAGGTAAAGGCCCTCCCGTTGATCGTCGATTTGCTTGAGCGGGCCCAGTAACGTCTCCATTGGAGACTTTGTTGTTACTGTGTCTGGCATATCGAATACTCTCGGTAGCTTGCCGGGCTCTCCGAGAGGGGCGGAGGAATCGAACTCGGGTCGGCCATGTTGGCCGCTTATAAGGCAAACGCGCTACCCGCTGTGCTATCGCTCCAGCCATTGGCATGAAATTTGAAGGTGAAAAAACATTATTTTCTGTGATTATTTATAATCACGCTTAGAATCCATAAAGCATTCTTTTTTTTTCTTTTTGGGTCACACCTGGCGATGCACAGGGGTTACTCGTGGCTCATGCGCTTAGGAATTACCCCTGCTGGTGTTCGGGGGGAACATATGGAATGCTGGGAATTTAACCCGTGTCAGCCGCGTGCAAGGCAAACACCCTACCCGCTGTGCTATTGCTCCAGCCCCAAGCATTCTCCCTTTGAGAAACACCCAAGTCTCTAGATGACAAAGTGAAGGGGAACCGGGGGGGGGGGGAGAAAATAAATGTAGAGCAAAGAAAAAATATGCTGACAAATTTTTCCAAGTTGAAAACTCTAGGAATAGGGGCCAAATAGAACAGCAAGTGGGGCACTTGCCTTGCATGCAGCCCACTTGTGTTTCATTCCTGGAACCTTACACAGGCCCTGGAACACACCAGGAGTGATCCCTGAACACAGCGTCAGGAGTAAGCGCTGGGCACCACTGGGCATGTCTCCCCATCAACCCCAAAGAAGAAATAAAAACCTAGGAGTGATGATGTCTGCAGAAGTCCTTGCTCTGCAGCAAATATTATTTCTAATGGATGCCTCTACAATTCAAAATGTTTCTTACACCCTGAGAAATTCAAACTACTTCATGACAACACACCCAGCTAAAGATTAAAATAGGGTCAATCCTTGGTTTTGGACAAAGAAGACATGGTCAATGGAAGAGGAGCTGTTAGAAGCTGTCTTCTTACCAGTCATTCCCACAGAGATCTTTGTGCCCAGACCTTTGTCACGCTGTATGTGATCACGGACTCACCTGTCAGTCTCCTGGACTTTCAGCTTCTTGAATGCCAGGGTCACCTGACTGTCACTGGTCTGACAATATCGGGTATTTACTAGATACTTCAGAAATAACATTATGGATATATTGGTCAAATGAACCAGTTCCTGCCCTCCCTCCCTCAGTTCCTCTCTCTTTTCTTTCTTTCTTTGGTTTGTGGGTCACACCCAGGAATGCTCAGGGATTACTCCTGGTGGTGCTTAGGGGACCATATGGAATGCCAGGCATCGAACCTTGGTCAGCCGCCTGCAAAGCACGCACCTTTCCTGCTATATTATCACTCCAGTACCAGAAGCAGTTCATTTTTGACAAAAGATTTTGTTCCAAGATGCTAGAATGAATTTTCTTCTTTTAAAAACATGCAAACTCTTTAAAACAAGCAAAGAAATACACAGGAGGGAAAAAAAACAGAAAGAAATTTTCAGTAAACTCTATTCAAGAAACACTGGCATACCCTTGCAGGATAGATAGATAGATATAGATATACATAGATATATATCCGCCACGCTCCAGGCTCCTTTCCAGATGCTCAGGCCAAGCCTCACGCATGAGTGTAGCCCCACAGAACCAGGTGAGGTGGGACTTTGTGACCTTGGACTCCAGACTCAATGGGGCCCGGAAACAGAGATCCTCTGCCTGCTTCCCCCAATCTCTGGAGACCCAGGGATCATGCCCATAATATCCACCCTGCAGGTGCCAGATAAATACCTCATCTGCTGACCTCCACTACGCAGCTGCCCCCATACTGCAGGCCGCTTTCTGGACAGTGTGGCCACAAAGCGCCATGCAACACAGCATAAGACACTTAATACCCATTTTCCAAAATTACCGCACCACTTTTGATGGGGTTCAAATATGGTGTAAACTATGGGAATGCCTGTAATGGTGATTAGAGGCCTCCCTAAAAGCCTCCATCCCTCTCAGAGAGCCTGGCAAGCTACAGAGAGTATCCCGCCCACACGGCAGAGCCTGGCAAGCTCCTGCCGACCTCACACATGAGTGTAGCCTCACAGAAGCAGGTGAGGTGGGACTTTGTGACCTTGGACTCCAGGCACGTACCCGTGGCATATTTGATATGCCAAAAACAGTAAAAACAATGGGCCTCATTGCCCTGACCTGAAAGAGCCCCCAATACGGCAGTGTTAATAAGGATAAACAAAGAGAGGCTGATAAAATCTCAGGGCCGAACTAGGCTGCCAAAACGAAGGACTAAAATGACTTTACTTTCAACGAACGTACGCTAGCATCCGAAGCACCCATCAAGGACCTGATGGTGCAATCGCAGATTAAGTATGACATCATTGGTCTGACCGAGATGAGAAGGCATCGATCACATCATGCCATTTACAACACTGGAGAAGAACTGTTCCTTGGAACATGTGACAATAGAGGTATCGGTGGTGTTGGTGTCCTGGTCAACATGAACTTGGCCATGAGCATTGATTCATATGAATGCCTAACAACCCAAATCAGACGATTACGCTTGAATAGATGTGGCTCTCTGCTGGCAGTTTCCATCTTTGTTGTCTATACACCAATATCCAACTACGATGAAGAAGGTATTGAGAAGTTCTACATGGAGCTGAAGAAGTTCTATAAAGAAGACCACACCTCCTACAAGATCACTGTAGGTTATTTTAATGCCAAGATAGGACTGAGGAGGTTGCCCGAAGAACTCCACATTGGGACCAATGGCCTAGAATGGAACGAACAGGGTGAGAGACGATCTGAGTTCACCTTGTTGACCAAGACCATACATGGTAACTCACAGTTCCAGAAGGCCAAATCTAAACATTGGACATGGGAGTCCCCTGGGGGACAGTTCCACAGTGAAATTGACCACATCATTTTCAATGGACCGTTTTGCCTGACTGATGATGCTGTTGTCCCAAAATTCCAAAACGGATAGGACAACCATCTCCTTCATGCAAAATTCTACTTCACAGAGCAGGGAGAAAGGACTGCAAAGTTTAAGAAGAGAACTTCCAGAATGACCACCAAATGGGAGCTCTTTGGCACTACTGAGGCAACGTAGGAAGATGCCGTCGCTGACATCAACGAGGAATCCAATTGACTGGTTCAGCACCTCCATGACTGCTCAAGGAATGCCAAGAGTGGGAAAGTCACAAACAGATGCCTGTCTTAGGAAACTCTCGAGCTCATTTGCCAACGTGGTTTGCAGCAAGCCTCTGGCAATCACAAGCTAATGTCCGAGCTCGCAAAGCTGTGCAGAAAAGCGATAAAGGAAGACCTCAAAGAGAGAAGAGCAATAGTGTTGGCTGATGCGGCAGAAGCTGGGAAAAATATTCGCAACACCTGCCTGTCCTTCGCCAACTATAAGTAAGACCAAGATGACTGCCCTCCGATGTCCTGTTTGATCTATCACATCTTCCAGAAGGGAAATGGAGAAGATTGTTCACGACTTCTACTTGGATCTCTTCGATAGCCATGTCCAAGTGCCCACATACAAATTCCGCAGGATGGATATGTCGTTCCCAACGTCCTCCTTTCCGAAATCCGACACGCCATTTCGTTGGTAAGAAGTGTACACCACCTGGCCCAGACAAGGTCAGACCCAAACACCTGAAGAATCTGACACCAGTACTGGTCAATACACTGGCTTGGCTCTTCACACTCTACCTATCTGAATGCAAGGTTCCTTCCCAATGGAAAACCAGCAGGACCATTCTGTTGTACAAGAAGGGAGACATCCAGGACATTGGCAACTATCGCCTGATCTGCCTGTTGTCCATCATCTACAAGCTGTCATCCTGAATAGGATTGGCAGAACACTAGAAGATGGACAACCATGCGTGCAAGCCGAGTTCCGAAAGAGATTCAGCGTGATCGACTATATCCACTACGCTCACTGAGATTTCGCAAGAGTTCAAGATGCCAAAGATGCCACTCTGCCTAACGTTCATCGATTTAAAAAAGGTCTTTTATTCTGTTGAGACTGACGTGGTCATCGAAGCCCTAGCCCAACAGAGCAGTCAAACTCAGTACATCAGGATCCTCTGTGGCTGTATTACGGATTCACCACTAGGACCTCACCATTCTACAAGAAAGTGATCATCGATGTTAAGAGAGGGGTTTGGCAGAGCGATACCATTTCACTGAAACTCTTCAGTGCCACCCTCAAGAACGTCATGTGATGACTGGAATGGGAAGGAATGGGAGTAAAGATATACAGTCAGCAACTACACCACCTCTGCTTCGCTGATGACATCGTTCTAATAACAGCAAACATTAACCAAGCATCACAACTGCTGGACGACTTTGACCGTGAGCATGAAAAGGTCAGACTGCAGCTGAACCTCACAATGCCTGGGAGGCTGGAGAGATAGCACAGCGGGTAGGGCACTTGCCTTGCACGCGGCTGACCCGGGTTTGATTCCCAGCATCCCATATGGTCCCCTGAGCACTGCCAGGAGTAACTACTCCTGAGTGCAGAGGCAGGAGTAACCCCTGTGCATTGCCAGGTGTGACCCAAAAAGCAAAAAAAAAAAAAAAAAAAAAAAGAAAAGAAAAGAAAAATAACGACTGCCCGCCCAATATGGGCATTCCTTAAAAAACTAGAAATTGAGCTTCCATATGACCCCAAAATACCACTTCTGGAAATATATTCCAAGGGTACAATAAAGCACAGTAGAAATGACATCTGCACCTATATGTTCATTGCAGCATTGTTCACAATAGCCAGAATCTGGAAACAACCTATGTGCCCGAGAATAGATGACTGGTTAAAGAAACTTTGGTACACCTGCACAATGTAATACTATGCAGCTGTTAGGAAAGATGAAGTCATAAAATTTGCTTGTAAGTGGAAGG